AAAAGAAAGGCAGATCTGTAATACAGTGTATACGGATATAAACTCTGATCGTTGACTATAAGCTGTATCATTTCAATAACTGTTGTATTGATTTTTCAACATTTGATTTTACATGTTTTACAACCTGATGAACACAACCGGCCCAGCTTTGCACGATGAAAAATACTACTTAAACAGGTCGACAGAAGTAGTCTCTGTTGTTAGATAGTCGGTTCTGAGAGTGAGTTTAGGAGTCAAGTGTACTTCAGAAGATAGGACATAAGTTGCCCCTGAGGAAGACTGGTCTCCCTTGAGGACTGATCTCACTTGAGGCAACGCTAAACTACACTGTTGAACAATGCGGAACAACAGCGATTCATCGCACTGCGGTGATTAATGTATGACCGAGGAAGGCAGGAGTTGATTCCTCGAAATACTATCCGTTTCGCATAATACAAGGCATGGTAGAGCTGATGTTCAAAATTAATCAACACCCCTTCTGTATCTTCTCTGGATTTTAATTACTTGAACGCGTTTGTTTTGATTCAGTATTTAGTCTCATGTTCGGTCCAAATATTGCTTCATTATTGCCTCAAGTTGTCCTGCTTGTTTATCGATGCAAGATACACTCATTTGCAAATCAATTTGGTTTTCACGAGAGACTCAACTAAATCTCTCGTCTATTATATTCTACAATTGAATGTGCTGCACACAGGCCGCGTCATGATTCAGTTGGACCCAGTAGAATACCATAAACGAGAGATTCAGTTGAGTCTCTCGTGAAGACCAAATTGATTTGCAAATGAATGTATTTCTCGAAAACAGTACAATTCGGGTTCAAGTAGAACACAAGGTTGATGAAAACTCGGGGACTGCGCCTACCTGATGATCTCGAAGTTGAAGGGCGAAAGCGGTCGTGGGCTGTCGAAGAGTTCTCAGCAACCTTATGAGTAGTGCAGTTGGAACATATTGTGTTTTCTTCTGACAGTGAACTTTTCAGCAACCTTCTGAGTAGTTTCCTTTATGAAGAGTCTTTAAGATATTGGGAAAAAGACATTGTTGAGCTTGACCTCACCTGGACAGAGCTCAGTGGCCGCCTGACCAACTCTGCTCTTGCAGTTCATACTAAAGTGATCCACTAATGGAAAGAAATGTCAACGGGTGTGAAAGCGTCTCCACTGCTACAACATTGGAAATGACAAAACGCGGAATATTCGCAGTTTTGGCTAGACCAGATCACCTAACCTAGTCTGATCGGCTGAGAATCTGCAGTATACGAGAAGGGGGATAAAATCGATGGAATATCACTACCTATGAGTTGTACGCCACCTTCCAAAATAATAACGGGATTGGACGTAGGTGAGTACGACGCAAACTCCGTTTGTGGCGTAACCTCCGTGGCGACGACCTCCATACTGCGATCGCTGTTGTTTGGCTCCGCCAAGTTAATTTTCTAACATTCTGGAAGGAACTCAGACCTCTCGGGATGCAAAACGCGAAGCCTTGACTTACGAGCTAAACTATTCATCTCCTTAAAAAAAGGCGAATTTTCGAAAAGGTGCTTTTCTAAGCGAAGAAAAGTGAGAGACGGCAACCAGTTCTGGAACCACTGTTTACGGTGACATTTAAAAGGCAAACACCCTGGATATATCGTCTGTACCGGATGTCGGTGCCACGTTTGAAAAGAGACTACAATAAATAACGCTGGAGGGTGAAAACGTGAACCTGACTCTATTCAACTTCGAGGCCCCGGTCCCCGCTTCACTTGTATAAACAGGTTTTGGTACATGTATATCTTTGTAATGTACTACTCATAAGGTTGCTGAAAATCCGTC